ATCGGTATAAAAGCGTTATGTGCATTTATGTACGTTATGCTCGTGGTTATTTGCATTTACGTGCAAAATTTTAGGAGATCGTCCGTAATGAGACCTATGGTACACCCGAATGCAATAAACTTTTTGGAATTTTTTTCCAGCCACAACTCCCGAACCGCAAACGGTTTTCGCGCCAGCGTATACAAATATTTTGGCTGCAGAATGTCATTAACCGAAGCAAAAATGTGTTTCAAATTGGGCGAAAGTGAAAGTTTTCGTGCATGTACACGAATTTGGTACCATGTACCGGACCACTTCCCTAAAATGGATGCGCTGCTTGTGAGCGATGTGCAGGTGATTGTAGCATTTGCTAGTGCGCTAATCGTAACGACAATGCAGCATGAGCTACCAAATAGTAGCTGCGGTATTAAGCCTGAAGCAAAGCTGGATGTTGCCAGTTTTTGCTAACAAAAGGGTTAACTGAAAACCATGGTTTTTATTTGAAACGTGCGCGCGCTAGAACTTGACCATTGTAGTACAAGGTATGTAAGTCAACAAGAAAATGTAAAAAATAGAGGAACAAACTTTTTATCTTACGTGCGATGACGTTAATTCGGTAATATCACTGTCTGAGATGGACATCGACCGCTGACGAACGCCACTGTGGTTCCTGTAGATTGAAGTCGCAATTTATTCGAAATTATTTTACGCACACTGCCGTTATGTCAATTATTTGCTAATGAGATCGTGCCACTAAGCAGTTGATTAACACAAAGATTGCATTACACAAAACAAGCAGTTCAGAAGTGCTACGACCCATTTCTTACCCTTTCTCTGGCGAACTTAAAATCTCAATGTCGGTTTTCGGACGTCCTAACAAGCTGCTACGAGCGCGATGACCAAACAAAGGACTTCTGCGGCTGTAAATGCACATGAAAAGGTCAGGGCTTTCTTGCCAAAGTACGTAAAAGCACGGTTTTAAATTTCCGAAACGTTACCTTTTTTTGGGCTCCGGCGATTCCAAATTCTCTTGATGTGACAGGTTCTCTTCATCGAACGGGTCTTCGACGAGGTGACGTGTTCCAAGCAAGCTGGCACGTCTGCGGCAAAACAGTGGGCATGCGGTTACATGGCTTAAATACAGTTACAGACATAACTAAAAAGCTTGAGCAAACACCTGTTAAATGACTCAGTATTCCGATTGCGTGTGCGTAGTCGTTCACTAGCTTTGACTACAGGGCTAAAGGAAGAATTTTCAGGAATGGATATTGGCCGCGCGATTTTTAAATCCGACACAAAAGTTAATTTTTGAACCACTCTCTACTGCGGGACCATCTTTAAGACAAGGAAACTCAAAATTACTACTGCCGTAACAATTCTGTCATCGCTCTTACAGCTAATTTATGGACCTTTTTTTAATTGATATAAGAGCTGAGGGCTATTTCGCAGACATGCCTAAGTCAATGTGATCCTAAATTTGCCAAAGAGAAGACTCCGGTTTAGGCCCGTAAAGTTATATATGGCACTTTCGAACATGTTATTTTCTGGAATCAACATTTTTGGCTTGTAGTACCGTAGGCCACCGTAGTTAGATGCTGCCTCCGTCACTACGTGTAGGTTTTTTAGTAACCGGCAGTGATCTGTGTGGCATTGTGTAGCAACCTATAATCTCGCGGAGTTTTTTATATTTTGGATAGCCGCGAGTAGTCTGTGTAGCCTTGCGCAGCCACCACTAGGCTCGGTAGTTTGTATTGTTTTCTGTATTCTCAGGTAGTCAGCGTAGTTCCTTTAGTTTCCGGTAGTCACCGATAGTCTCGGTAGTTTGCGCAGTTTCCTGTACGTCCAAGTAGTATGCGTAGTTTTCGCTAATTTCCGGTAATTTCGGTAATTACCAGTACATTACCAGTACATTGTATTCTCGATAGTTTGTGTGGTTCTCCGCATCCACAGGTAGTCTGTGCAGTCCCTGTAGTTTTTGGTTGTCAACGATAGTCTCGGTAGTTAGTGTAGTTTTCTGTATTTCATATTAAATCTTCGTAGTTTCTGTAGTTTTCGGGAGACGCTTTAATTAGCCTTGTAGTTTTAATTACCTGCAAAAAGGTTTCTTCAAGTTTGCTTTTGTTGCTACAGTATTCCAAAACTTGTTAAAAGTTTAAGCCTGCAAATTAAGCCTGTGTAAGCCATAAAGCCGGTTTAAGCCTTAAAGCCCGCAAAATTTAAGAAAATTAGGAAATCAAACAACTAAAATTTAAAAGATCTAAGAACTTTAGGATTGATGCTGTGGGCCCAGAAATTAGTCGTTTAAGAAGTGTCTCATACGACTTCATTGCGACGAAACAAAACTTCAGTACGTAATTACGTAAGACTACACGGACTACCGGTAGCGCGCCAAACCAATGGCTACACAAAACTCGAGAATCTGCGTTAAACTACAAGGACTACTGGTGGGTACACAAACTACAGGATACTAAAAAAACTTTAGCAGATGCATGGAGCTACCTAGACTACCGGTGGCTAGAGACTACAGAAAACTATCAGATCCATAGCATTTTTTTCCGATCTTAAAACGAACTTCAAGAATTTCACAATTCATTTTAAAATTATGGGAAAATGCTATAAACCTGAAATTGGTTCATTTTTGAGTCTATGACCAAGTGCATTGGCAGCAAAGTTTCAAGAAGATTGGGTAATCACCAGACTTTTGGTACACAACAGTGCAACTTTTAACCCATTTTAGTACGCCATATCTTGGCAACCGGATGCTGGGCGGGCAAACGGTTATCAGAGCAATGCATACAAATCATTTGGCTTTGGAAGGACATAAATTAAAGTATTACAAAAACATGATTCAGAGTGCCCAAAAGCGAAAGTTTTTAGTGTATGTATCTAGTTTTAGTGTTTGTTTGACACAATGTACCGGACCAATTCCCTCACAAGCAACGGCTCAGGCTGGTTAACCAATTACATTGAGGTCTATATATTAGGACATCATCCTGTGCTCGCGGATATTCCATTACAGATACATGGATATTTTACCTATGTAGCAAGTAATCTGTGTTGATGCTTCCACACCAGAACATGCACGCGGCATTCCGTTGTAATAAAAAATACAAAAGTACAAATGCATACGTAAATTTAAAAAAGTTAAGGTTGTGAATTGTAGTACACGGAACAAACTGTAGTACAAATATCTATCTTGCTTCGTCGTAATATGCTCCCAAACCTTGCAACCGGAATGATATTAAATTCTCAGTTGCTCGACGGAATATAACTTGACTTCCGGTTTTCATTTATTCCATTCAAAGAATAATATTTCGGTTGCCCATGGGCCATCTCGTATTTCTCTCGTTGAGAAAGGATGCAATTGTAAACTTAAATACTGACTAATCGACGTGATCAAGCAAAAATGCCATCGACAACAAGAGGCTACGTACGTATGTATACGTATGCATTAGCAAAAGATGAAAACGTGGAACGTCAGTCTGAATAATTTTACATCAAACGGATCTACGGATCATTACTGCGAACGCGATTTTGTGTCTTACAATTCATCAATGGAAAAAAATTATTTAATAAATACAAAATATGTTTACTTGCCTACAACTTTCCGCAGCTGCTTCAACCGTATCCGACTCATGCCCCGTCAGACTGAAGCTATCTTCCAAACTTCCGCCTCCAGCCCTGCAGACCATAATGCTCATGTAGATACACTAATAAATTGAAATTATTTCTATTCGGCGGTATCAAATTTCGTTACTGCTGCTCAGTTTAAATCTGCTGAATAAAACTCACCCCTCAATCAGAACATGATTATTTCAAATTGAAAGTTATGATTTTGGCGGTGATGAAATCTTTGTCGCGTTTCGGGTAATTTGTCGCTGATTTGTTTGTTGTTTAGAGTTTTGAATTGAACTGCTTGCTAGCCGTGGCGGCGGCTTATTTCAAAACCAGTAAAATAGAGGTCTTTTTAAAAACAATTACACAAAATAAAATTCAACAATTTTTAAAGCATACAGAAAATCCCAAAATTTCGAGCACGTTAATTAGTCCGTAATATACACTATGTCAAAACACAATTATTTTCAATAACAAGAAACTTAGATGGTACTGCAAATCTATATTTTCTGAATTTGTGGTGATATCTAAACCAGTTTACGTTTGTGCAGTCGCTTTAGGACAAATGACCCATAATATTTAACAATTTTAATTTAAATTTACTGCTTGGCTGCATGAAACCTTGCCTGCCACTGCTGCTTGTTGCTGGCAGTAAGTCGTCTAGTGCGTTTAGTTCGTCACTTCTACGGTTCTCTCCAAACATGTCCTCATCCTGCATCAGAAATCTTCAGTGGATGTTACACAAAAGCGATTGGGTGAAAATGCTTACGGAATCCGTATAAGAGAACATTTCTCCCGAATGGATGATTTTTCCCGTATAACGATAACACAGAGTCGCAGACCACAGTGCTACTGTTCCATCGAATACGTGATTATCAGGTACAATAAGGAAAATAAAACGAACACATTTTATCCCATTTACGGAAGACAGATCATTAAGCACAACGGAAAGGTAACGGGAAGAACTAACAATAATGCGTGCTTGATTTGTAGTGTTTGATGGTCCTGACAGCTGCCTTGTTGAGCGGTACGCTCATGATGCGGCACCGGGTGCTTTGATCTGGCACCGCGCTGCGCCTTTTTTGTTTCATTCAGTCTACCGGCGCTTTGATTTTGTTAGTGTTCGTTCAAATTTGTTTTGCGCTGGTGCACGAAGAGGAGTATTCTCAAAATTACCATTTCGGGTGCGGAATACCCTTCCGCTTACCTGACTATTCATTTATGCAGCAGGGTATTTATTTACGACTGATTGTTTCACACTGACAATTGTGAGTGTAGTACGTACAGAGTACATCAGCGGGCAAGACATCTAATGTAAACTGACTGTCAGGTTTCCTACGTTATGACAGTAATCGTTCTATACGTTGGCTTGTGATCCGTCAAGAATATGGAATTCCAAATCCGACAGCCTCATCGATTTGGAAATCTGGAATTGGAAAACATCGTTTCTCGATTTCAAAAACATCGATTGCGATTTTGCCAACCCGGATGCTGGACTTGGAATTTTTTTTCAGCTTTTGATTTTCCAATTCCACATTCCATTACACGCACTGTAATGGACGTTTCCATATAACTTACTGGTATTGGCCTTAACCTGACTTGCTCGCCATACTGTATGTGGAAATCTGGCAGTTTGCGTTGTTGTTGACGTTGGTAGAAGTAGAAACTAGATTTTTTTTTGAAGAACGAAACCCGTTTATTTCTTCGAGTTGCAGCATCTTTTTTGTTTTATTCTGATTTTGTACTTGTACCCGCTGAGGGGCTAAAGTCCTTCAAGTGCTTATGATCGGGCCGTTGAATGGTGGAGTCCTCGATGTTTACGTCTTCTGGCCCGTTCTGGGGTTCTTGCCGTTGAGTAACAGCTGTATCTTTCCGCAACCCGAAGCTACCGTTCCATGTGTTGAACGAAAGTCTAAAATTACTTCTGCCACTGTAACTTACAGTGGGATCCATAACGGTCGACTGCGTCCCAAAATCCGAAGTTCCCCGAACACGGTACGTTTTTTCCGTTACACTTTGTACAGCAGCACTGTAATAATTACGTAATGAATTGTTCGACTGTGTCACAGCCCAAAATAATTTTTGTAAATTTCGTGGTATTGATGTAAGTACTTGTTACTATTGGTTTCAGTTTGGTGCAGATACAATGGAAGCTTTTTTTGTGTTTGCGGATTCTGTCGTCAGGCGGGCCAATAGGCTCTTGGATACTGCAGATGGGGATCAAGACGGCATTGAAGGAGCACTGGCGCAAATTGAATATTTAACTGGGTAAGCTGTAAAAATCCCATAAAATTGCAGTTAACCTAATTTGATTCTGCCACTTTTATTTTGCTGTTTTTCAGTTACACACGGGATATATGCGAAAACTTACCTAACGAAGTGACGGGAGATGCTCAGCAGTTGTTCGACGTTTTGCGAAACTGTTCAGAGGGCTTGCACCAGCTACTGCGGGAAGACGAAAATGGGTCGGATTATTTCTATGAAATGAAAGGCGGCACTAATAAATACGGAAAAATTTGTATTCCGGATAACGAACTCGGTGAAATGCGATGCGAAGGCTTCACAGTTAGGGAAATTGCTGGGTTCTTTGGAGTTACGACACGTACGATCGAGCGGAGGCTGGTTGAATACAATTTAAATCACAAGGTAAATTTTAATGCTAGCAAAAACTTTAACGGTAGCGTCTTATTTGTATTAGCATGGTCAAGTAAAATAAGCTATTGTGAGTGCAATAAAATTCCAAATTTTATCAGCGCGAAAAAAAAGTTTTTTGCGGTTTTTATCGTAGTACAGCGATATATCCGACGATGACTTGGACATTGCCGTGCAGGAAATACTCAGTTCGTTTGTGAATGTTGGATATCGTTTCATATGTGGTCAGTTAAAGAGTGCTGGATTATATGTCCAGCGAGCTAGGATTCTTTCATCTCTGCGACGCTTGGACCCTTATGGTGTTGCTAATCGGTTTTTCAACTTGGTCACTCGTCGTAAATACTCCAACCCTGGTCCGAACGCGTTGTGGCACATGGATGGTAATCACAAACTGGTGCGGTGGGGATTTGTTATTCATGGAATTATCGACGGATTCTCCAGGCTGATCATTTCACTTGTGGTTGCCACGAATAACCGTGCTAGCACAGTACTAGAAGCCTTTTTGAACGGAGCGGGGGCGTGTGGAGTCCCATCTCGAGTGAGAAGCGACTGCGGAGGTGGGTTTATATACATTATTCTAAACTAGTGGACCCCGCGCAAACTGCGCGGTGTACAGAGAGTAGTAGAGATTAGCGTAGAGATAGATAAGAGAGAGATTAAAGAGATTAGCGGAGTAGTAGAGATTAGCGGCTGATAACTGCACGAACTAAATATATTATGGAGACCTACTCGTACAATACATATTTTCGTTAATAATACCAAGATCATAATAAATACGTGCTTATCAGTAGTCAGTGTTAATGAACAGCCAGCCAAACAACCAAAAACAATTCAGATGCTCTAAATGGCGCGGTGGCATCATTTAGAGCATTTAAAAATAAATTATTAAATTTGACCGCTCCGTTCACCACTTTTTATTGCCTTTCAATCGTACTCGTATATCTGTACACAAACAATTTGGAAACTATTTGGAAACTATCGGTACTTGTACTCGTACTGCTTCTCCCTCCATTCATTGCTTTTATTGACTCGTCCAACGGTCTAAGTCAAAATTCCCTTCGCTTGATATTTATTTGCTTTCGCTTTCGCCACACTCGCTTGTTTTCAGAATATTTCTGTACTGCACATTCCTTTCATTTCCAAGATATTTCTATAGCATATGTTTTGTAAATGTTCGGAACATGCGCTACTTTAAACAGTTGGACAAAATACCAATTATGTAGGCGCGCAGTGAATTTCTGGACAAAGAACATGAATAATTTCTGAAATTCAGAAGAATTTATTGCTCGAACTATAAGAATAATAATTTCTGAGATTTAGGTATGTTTACAATAATAACGCGTACATCTTTTCAAACAAAGCCAAATCATTATGCAGGAAATATACTGCAAAGTGTTTTCCCACGTCGGACCATGAGGGACGGCAAAAAAAACCGAAAAGGTATTTTACCGGGTAAATAGTACGCAATAAGTGAGTCAATAACGCAATAATTAGTGCACGGGGAGACCGTAGTGAGAACGGTCGTGAGCCAAACGAAGGCAGTAAAAGTTTGTAACGGAGTGGTCACCTTTACTTTTTAGCTTTCAGTTTTCCAGGTCTACTTGTGCTTCGTGATTCCGTGGCGCCTCGGTGAAATACTGTAGCGTAGATCCGGTGACATTTTCACCAGCAAGTACAAAAGCCCGAATTTAAACAATGTATGCGTTTAGATTGTGCAAGTTTGGTTTTGCTGTTCCACGGAAGTACGAAGAACTACGCAGAATGTCTCACTTGTTGTTCCGCGAGCTCCGCTCGTGTCGTGTCGCCCGGCCGTCACCTGGCGGCGAAACAATCAAATTGGATAACATGAGGTTTAAAACCCGAACGCAACGTAGCTAGCAGAAGTTTCCACTCTTACAAAAACTGAACATAACAAACACAAAATTTCCCGGCTTTTTCAAATTTAGCTTGTAGCCATTTCCAATTTTCCACAAATTTACAATGCGAAACTACTGCAGCCGCTGCACAAATTTCATAACGGGAATAGTTGTCAGATTACTATGTGTAGTTTTTTACAGTACGTTTTATAAAAACCTCCAGAGATGGCAGCTGGACAGTGGACAAACTTTAAAGTTTAAACGTGTTCCTTTTAACTTCAAAAATTTAAACGCAAATTATTAATTAAACGAAACTTAACTAGAAACGGGATAATGTGTTGCTAGCTGAAGCCGTACGTTTTCGCCATAGTACGGTAAAGTCGGCAGACTATCGAACGGTACATAGACATTCAAGTTTGGTTGGACGTGTCAATGACTTAGACCCTGACATACACAAACTTTGTGCACCTTCTTATTATTTTATATAGATAGATAGATTAAAAAGTAATTCAGGCATAACTAATATAAAATCTTTTGTTACATTAACTGCTTTAACTCTTATGATTCTAATTAAAGTATTATTGATACGCAGGTGAAAATTTTGGAGTTGCAAGATGGATGGAGCATTACATGGGGCCTGATCGAGGCAGTATTATTATGGGTCCGTCCGTCCATAATCAAAGAATCGAGAGACTCTGGAGAGATTTGGGACGTGTGGTTATAAAACTTTTCCGGTCGGTTTTCATACACATGGAGAATACAGGCATTCTGGATGTTTCCTTTGCGCGCGACATGATGATACTGCATCTTGTGTACCAGCAAAGAATTCAAGAAAAACTTGGCCAGTTTATCGAATTTTTCAATAACCATAAAATGCGAACCGAGCACGAAAAGACGCCTAGGCAGCTATTTATATTAGGATGTCGCGAGAAGGGACTGCACGGATTTTCACTGGATCAGGTTCTATCAGCAGACAATGTTTTGCCTGAAGCAGATGTTGATGTTGCGGAAAATTTTCCAGCGTATATCAGAAATCATGCCTCGCACTCAAGAGATTCAGTACCGGTATTCGACATCATCAGCAGTTTTCCGAATGAGGCGCAGCTGATTTTGGATAGTATAGACGTTATGGCCGATGATGGGATGTACGGAATTGACACATTTCAGACTGCAAAAGATTTAGTGCGGTTTCATTTTGGTTGATGGTACGAATTTTCGAAACAATAATTTTTGAAATTCGGTACTGACACGCGTGCTTTTTTGAAAATTTATTTCAGTATCTTTTAAATTTATTTCTCGTTTTTTTGCAGCTGGAAACGGAAAACTCGCAGAGATTTCCCGATGGTGCTTTTGTGTCTGAGTTTTACTCATTGTCAATATTGGAGTCAAGGGTGTCTTAACGTGGTGTTCGTGCATCCCAATATGGCCCATCGGCAGTTCGGAGCGTCTCGTGGCGGACGGTGCTGTGGCCCTGCAGAGCGAAGGTGATTCCATCCGCTTCTTCACTGCTCACCATGACTCCTCTCAATGTTTTCCGGAAATCCGCGACGGCACCCCGGAAATCTGTTTCGTGGGTGGCTGGCTGGCTCGTGGGCTCTGGTGAAATCCCTTCTGGAGTGCATTATTTTTATCAGGCAGCAGATGGACAGCATATTTATCTGCATCCGATTAACGTGAGAATGCTGACGGCGCAGTATGGGCATGTCCGAGAAGCGCCATTGGAGATCCCTGGGAAGGTGGTGGATGTTGATACATGGAGTATTAACGAGGAAATACGAAAACGGTAATTTGAATTTCATGTCTAGTTTTTTCATCTGTGCATTCTTTAGATAACCCATTATGGTTTTCATAGATATCGGTATTTATCGCACTTGCCGCTGACGTGTGTGTTTAGCGTGGTGGAACTAGACTTGCAGCCGCCGATGGTGTCCGTGGAGGTGCTGGATAGTTTCGCGTCGGAAATCGACTAACGCCATCATGTTCGCAACATCAGAATGCAGTAAGAGTGAGCGATACTACGATCACAAGCTCTCTAATTTATTCCGTATTCGGCTTTTCAAAGACGAAATGATGCGCCAGCGTGATGCCGAGAATGCGTTTCGAAAAGATATTCGCGGATGGGTATCCTTTAGTCTGCAGTCGGAGCTGTTTCCGGCCGTCAGTCCTAGCCCGACGATGGAGGATTTGAATTTGGCCTCGGAAGAAGCATTTCCAGCAGTTGGTAGCGAAACGCTGCTGCCTTCTTCACCTAAAGCCGCCACATTGACCCCTAGTACTTCAGCGCCGAAATCTTTTGCACAGGTGCTGTCAGCATTCATTTGAGTTGGAAAAGATTTTAATTTCAATTTTCTATAATTTAGATGCTGCGCGAAGGGAAAGTTCAGCGTCAGTCGTCCACCGGAAACGAAGGAATTCAGTCTACGAGCAAACATGTCCCGAAGCAAACATCTTCCGATGAGGAAAACCAGCAAGGAGCAGCGCCGGATTTCCACGCATCCTTCTCCGCTGGACTGGATGCTGCTTTTAGCCAGCTGGAGATGAGCAGTAGTAAGGCGGAAGGCATGGGAGGTAAAGGATCAAAGAAGAAGAAGATAGGCAGCAAGGTGACGTTGTTCGCTACGGGAGTGATGCCGCGCGTTTAGGCTACGGAGGAACTTTAATAAAGCTGTAATAAGTATTATCTGTTGTTGACATGATTGGTGCGAAGGAACAGTTGTTATTTAACAGATTTGGTTAATTATTTATTCATTTTCGATTTGATAATCGTCATCTGAGTCGTGAATGTCTGCGTTTAAACAGTGTTGTTCTGATATTATAAATTATGATTATTCTAACTTGATGATGATCGATTGTTATCTAGAAATTGGACATCGTAGTAGCTTTCTTCGCGGCTTTCGTGGTATCTGGTGTTTAATTGAAATAAATATCGTATAATAATACTTTTGGGGTCGAGTATTTACGGTCGAGATGTGTGCGTTATATAAACAAGTCGCTGCCATTGCCACCTTACGAACCGGACTACTGTTCTGGAGTTTTGTGTCGCTGTTCAAGAATTTCGGGCCGTGAGGAAACCGGGAATACCGTAAATGTAAATGACCGGGGAAATGTTTCGTTCAAGGATGAACTTTGGGGCATGTTGGGTTTGTTATAGCACATACTTGTGCATTTTCCGGTAATCAATAGTTAATTAATACCCTACATAGGATTAGGTTCTGATGATTTCCCTTTTTATTATCAGAAGGCATAGTAAATTACTAGTATACTTGTATATTTTTCGTCATACAGCCCATTAATTATACCGTGCCGTATGGCATCCGACGTAGATGTCGAATTACAAATTTTACGAATAGAAAATTCCTATGCGACTAATCTTCCAGTGCACACCAGAGGCTATAATCAAGGTCAGCTCTGCCGACTGTTTTGTCGTTCCCACCAACGTTAATATGGCGCCGTTTATATAGCATCGTTGTAGTGCCGTCTTATTTCCAGATGTTACATACTGCAAGAAGTGCTTTCTCATCAAACCTGATCGTTCGCACCAGTGCTCAGTTTGTGAGAGGTAAAAACAACCAAATGTCCACGTTCTGGTGTCAACTTCATCCTTATGCCTTTCAATTACAGGTGTATTATACGATTAAAAATTGATCATCACTGGTAATTAATTTTTACTCTTTTGTTGTATAACAAGTTCAATATTTCACTGACTTTTTTATTTGTTGCATCCCCTGGTGAGTCTTCGCTTTACTGCTAAATTGTATTTAATGTACTGTATTGCACCCATGTCTGTTGATTCGAACGCTTACTCTAGGCCCTGCCTAAAATGCCTTGCAGTTTTCCGTAGAAAGTTATCGATCGCCTATATTCGGGCGAGGTATCGATAAGAACGGCTGTCATTTGGGTCACTACAGCAATTTCACACAGATCTTTGGCGATAACTGGCTGTTTTGGTTCCTCCCGGTGGTTGCAAGGTACTCGTATGTTTATAAATTCTGTTCCACGAATTCGTCTCGGAGCAGGAAAATTGAGGTTAAGTGGCTTTCGGCAGTAGCCCGCATGTGAATACTGTAGTTTAAAAAATACCGGCGAGGTACAGTAATTTTCAGTCGAAGTTTTTTCTAAATGTGTTGGCCAATTTAAAATGTTCTGATTCGGATAAGTATGAGATGGTACTCCTGGTAATGTTGGTTAATATATCCGTAACGTTTTTAAGGTGAAGAGTGACCGGATGTGCTCTTTTGTAACTTCAAAGGCTTGAATAAAATGCGAATTATCCGTATTAATAATATTGCGTACTTCTATTACAGCAAAGGCAACGGATTACAGTACCCTGTGCGGTTTTCTCGTGATTTGGCGTATATTGCGCCGGTGCCTGACTCAACTGCTTCCCAGTTCCCCTCCCATCATGTGTCGCTGGACGTACGAAGTAAGACTACAAGCGACCCTATTCCTCCGAAATCCAGATCTTTCCAGAAGGCTAAAGGACATTCCAATAGGTTGATGTGAGATTTTTATTTCTGAATTTTTGGTGGTAGTAAGTAGAAGTGTGTATGTCATGGTAGCATCCCATCAAATTCCAGGCAAGTTTCGATGTCTCTAATTTCGTTGTTTGCCACAATTTGCAAACTGCGTCACCGTAACAAATTCAACAAATTGATATATTATCAAAATATATTTTGTTCAGGTTGTCGTTGAGGAGAAAATGTGAACAAGATTATGGATTATGATTTTGTTTTTATTAGTGACTATTTGCCTATTAGTTTTCGGTTATAATTTCTGCCGCATGCTATAGCAACGGCCACGCATATTCGGTTTTAACCGGCATCGCACCGATGACCAACACACTGTTTAGGAGGCGCAGCTATGGCTGGATGTGGATGCGGGTGAGACGAATCTCATCGCCCTGGACGCACCCAGTTTTCCCTGTAATCCGCAAGAGCAGCGCCAGTCACATTAGCGGGACCAGCCACGGCTTGTTTTAGTTAACGAATAGTTCGCTGGTTTTAGTTAACGAATATTAGACTTTGATTGGGTCTGCATTTTCTAATTCCTTTCTGCAAATTTCCTTTGGGTTGTTTTATTTTTGACGGGGTTGTAGTCATTTATTGCAGATACGGTGCTGATTTGCTTGAACTTTCGGTTTTGGGCTTTTTCTGTCGGCTTTGAATTTCTGATAATTATGATGCAGCTCTGGAAAGTTATTGAAAGTTAACGAAAATAAAATTAACCACAAAAAATATAACTGGTGTTCTCTTCAGGCGAACTCAACATTGTTTTCGTTTTCATACGAAAAACCCAGACCAGTCCTGGCAGTCCATAATGTTGGGAAAACTGATTTGTAACAAAATACCGCATAAGACATTTGCTGCGATAATTTTATTGTTACTAAATAGCGGTAAACTTAGTTTAAAGTTAAACAGTCCAAAAAACCAAAAACAATTTCATCAGTTCGTCCGCACATTCACATGGTGCCACAATTTTTCCAAAAAGGAAAAGGTAAGAAGTATCAATATTCCAGAAAAAGCCCCACACTCAAATCCGCAGCAAATTACCTCCAAAAAAGCAGCAGTAAACCAAATGTGTCAACTTTTCGCCCAGTAAGCGAAAGTGCAAAAAATCGAAACAAAACAGGGGTGCTAAAAAAATATACACACAAACCAAAGCAACAAAATAGGTGCTGCCGATGCCGGCATGTTTACACACCACCATCCTACTTGCTATCCAAATCCGAGCTGGACTAAATCCAAGTTCAATTGATTATTCCACTCAAATCAGGTTAAAAAAGGTATAAAAAGTAATCTGCAGCTTCTTCCTCCACACGGCCGTCCAGTTACCGTTACCGCATAACAAGCCCTGAAAACAGCAGCGATTTACGATAACACTACTTTAATTGTTTTATTTTAAATCGAAGGTCATTTTTATTGTTATGGGTAGACAAATTATTGTTATGGGTTTGAATCACAAATAAACACCCATCTCACCACGCTAACATGATTTTCGGGCGCTTAGCAATTTAACTATGCGTCCGGAATGTTTCCGGACGCATAGCATTTTCGTAAATTAGGTTATGTGACTTATTGTTGAATTACGGGTGCTGGAAATCCAAATAGTCATAAATAAAAATTTAAATTCCCTTACACGTTGTTCATTTGATCTGGAAAACCGTTCTACTAATCAGCGAATCGTTTTGGTTTCTATCACGCATATACAACCGCTATGCAACTACTACTGTTTAACGCAGTCCACTTAACTCAATTTCAGCCAAGTTGGAAACTTCCTTGTAGGGGGTGATCCATCGTATCCAGACACTCCCGAATCAATTCCAGCAATTTCTCTTTGCTCGGACAGGCCAAGGGAAGAAGCAGGGTGTTATTACACGTTCCGGCCGTCGGTCGTCGCAAAAAACGTCCATCGTTGCTAAAAAGAATCTGAATCTTTGGAGATGCCGGCATTGAATGCGAGCCTGTGATAAATCGGAGTAACTTTCGACGGTCGGAGCAGGAGAGGTCATCTTTGATGATATCGTCTAGCCAGGCGGCGAGCACGACCTCATCGGCCGAAGCTTCATCGTAATCCACAGCGATAAATTGCTCCAACAAGTCGTTTCCCATCAATACTGAATTGTACAGCGCATCTTCCATTATCTTCCAATTTGGCAGTAGTGCTTTTAATTCCTGAAAAATGCGACAATAAGGAAACGCTTATTCGAAAATGAATAAAAATTATTTCCCATTTTCTATTATTATTTTTTATTTTTTTATTATTTATTATTTCTCACCTTAATAAAACCACCGGCTAAGAAACCTTCGTACACGTAGCGGAGATTTTCAGCTCGCTTGCCTACCAGTTCGTACTCAGCAATGTACTGACAGAATGTTTCCCGGCTGCTTTTCATCAGCTCCCTACACTGTAAAATAATCTACGATTATATTCAGTTGCACCACCCAAAAATTCACTATTATTACCGGGAAAGTTGGATTATTTTCCGCCCATTGTTTCAGCATCGGCTCTTGATGCATGGTTAATTCTCCAGACCCCGATAAAATACGCTCGATCATATCTCCCACGCCCTTATCAAAATGGAACACCTCATTCAGTTCAAGGGGTAAACCTAGCATGCTTCGCAGAACGCTGCTGGATAGCCAGTCGGGATACGACGCACCACGCATCACTGCTTCGCGCAACATAAAACCGGAAGCCCTTAAGACAGCGCGCCCTTCTTCGGTTACAATGGGAACCGCCGTGTACAGCACCACCAAATTTATTTCCACAAAAAGGGGCTCGTTAATATCCGGGAATTTATAATAACGAGCATCTTGCCAATAGCGAGAACCGAATTCTTTGTAAGGGCCATCAGCATCGACCGCACTGAAAATCAAAAACCGCAATGGAAAAATATTATTTATTGTAGGTTCATGAGCAGATACACATTACAAAATTCGATTTTTAATCTTTAACAAAAATGCCGTGCGGATTTAAAAATTCCAGCTTACCCATCCATTCGGACTTGAAACCGTCCTGCATTGGCAAGGTCATCACCATGCGCACAGTAGAAATTGCTGAAATTTTCAACATTTTTCTCCTGAAGCCACCCGTATACGAACTGTGACTTGACCATCGGATACTCGTGTGTCATTTTAACGGATAATTGATCACGCATATCCTTAACCGTCAAGTATTGATTTTCAGGTTCCGGAAGATCTCGTACTGTAAATCTTTTCTTTAACGTGGGATCTGAACTTTCCGCATCGTCTTTAGTGGATAATAGAGGCAGAATTTCTTTTACGGACGGCGTTTCAAGGGATTCAACATCACTGTCGTCTGAGAAATGCAGTGTTACAATCTCTGATCGGTTTTGCGGGCCTTTCGCTGGGATCCGAACACCCGCAAAGCGAACTGGGCGGTGATCTCGCTCCGGTGATGATGGTGGAGTGTCCAGGTCAAAAACAGTGCTACGTCGCTTGCCAACTGTAAAGCCGCGGGATCCACGGCCACCAAAGCTGGAAAAGCCTCCTTCATCATCTACGCGGGCAGTTGAGCGAAGGCCGGATGTACTGGCCTGCTGGTCATCTCGGCGGTTGTTTTCTCGCTTGACCGCTTCTGAAAATCCAGAAATAATGTGTCTGTGCAGTGCAGCTTCTACAGTGTGGCCTTATTAACTGCATGATTTTATCAAGCTGCTCAAATTTAGCTGATTGTACGTCCTCGATACCTTCGATATTTTCCAGTGGTAATTCCTCAACGGTCATCCCTCGAGCCTAAAACCGGAAGCAACAAATTCAAAATTAAACATTAAAGGATAATGAATTTAATTTCCTTTTTCAGTGAATTATCTTTGCTACGTTTGAAAAAAATTAAAATCTATACCTCAGCCGTCATTCATTGCAATGAAAATGTGACGATAAACGTCGCCAACCTCCGTTTCAGAAATCCTGAAAATAAGAAAATTAACATTATCGCATTGGGGCCCGACGTTCTTCCCGGAAAACTAAATAAATACATTTCTTGCTTTTCCCAAGCCCGGTGATCAACAACATTTGCCGCGTACAGCCAGTATCCTTTCTTTTTCCCCTTTCCAGTGCGCGACAGAAGTGTCCAAGGCCGACCTTGCAGACGATCCACAAAAAGCTGAGAAATGCTCTGGATGATGTGATCTTGCGTAAGCTTATCAAATTCAATTAACCGAATAAGTCCCATATGGTCCATCAGCTCCAGTTCAAGCTGATGTTCGCTGCAAAATTTCAACTGCTTGATCGTTTTTTACTTACTAAGCTAAGCACTAAAGTTAAGCTGACAATAACTGATAAAATGTGGCGAAATCATGTTAATGCAAAACTACGGAAAAACGTACTTTTTTGATTTTGGAGGCGGGACCACATTTTTGTTCCTCTTTCGAAACAAATACACGCGGAAATTGTATGTAATCTCAAGCTGGGGCTCTTTAATTGGATCTGGTGGCGCTTGTGCATTGAATGCTGGTGACCGATGAATGGCTAAGTTCGGGCGCTTCGCAGTACCTCGTCCACCGGTCGTCGCAGCCCATCGCCCAGCTGACCCACTAAATGGAAACGACGGTGACCCACCCAGTCCAACACATCTGCTTCCGCCGGGAAACCGGACCCCACGTCCAACACGTTCGCTTCCGCCGGGAAACCGGCCCCCATGTCCAACACCTCCGCTTCCACCGGGAAACCGATTTCCTGACCCAGCACCGACCCCGGCGCGGTAATTCATCGGCTCACTATGTGGAGTATGCGTAGATGGCTGTCCATGGGTATTGCTCGAGGCACGAAATCCAGACTCACTGCCATCTCCTGTCGCAAACGGACTACAAAGCGAAAACTCAAAGAATACACAGTGCAAAATTTTATACCATAATGAATTAAAAAATTATCCATAATGACTTTAAACGAGACGACAAAAATGCGAGTAACCACTGCTGTACTTTCACCGGTAAATATCATGCCACAAAGCTTTGATCTGAGCCGCAACTCTTTTGCCCACTGGCAGGCTTTACAAACTACTTTTAACCACTACTGCAAGTAAATTTTAATATTTGATAATTATCATATTTTAATATTTTACCTGTTTTCTGCCAACTGATCGATGCTTTGCGGAGATGTGACAATCGCCGGAATTCCATTCACACATTGGTCTGCTTCATTTATGTTGCGTCCAGACTGGCTGTTAACATGATGCCGCAAATGATCTTCCCAGTTCCTTAAATGATGTATTGCCAAGTAATGACCGCAACCGTTACGTCCAGAACAATTCGCATTGCCTAACGCCCATGAAAAATTTAATTCTGTAGGAGATCGGATAATGCAATGGCAGTCAGAGAAATCACACTTATACTCGTACTGCAATAGACTCGCCATTATGTTTCTATGAAAAAATTCAGTTTATCGCAAAAACGGCTGGTTTAATTTCTCCGCTAACGAACTTCAGAAACATGCGTCAATTCTAACAAATTTTAAAAGAAATTGCCTGTGACTGAAATTTAAACTAACCGTCCAGACGTCCAGTGCACTCTGGTCTCATCGGCAGTTAGAACAAGCGTGGCAAAGACGTACCAGCTCAGCACGCCTGTTATGTAACAGGCCAATCGGAAGTGGATTCACTAAGAAGCGCGCCATTAACGTTTTAACAATGGCGAAACCGTCAATGGCGACCGGCGCGGCGAGGAAGAAACTCGGCACCTTTTGATCCAACGCAACGGCATCAGTTTTTTTGGTAAGACCGAATGACGATACTTTTTTGCAATGCATAATCTACCTTGTGAAACCCAAATGTTAATTACAAGCAAACATACAAGTTACAATACAGGACTTGTGTGTAATAATGTGTAGAAGTAGGAAACTCTGTTTTGTAGTTGTTTTGCATTAGTGCCAGTTGCTTTCCAACCAAGTTAACGGCTATTACGTTTTAATTCACTCTTTACTCAGCAATTCGCATGTTTCGGTAGTCAAGTAGTCAACCAAAAATGCCATCACCTCTTCCTTACTTGCGCATCTGTTTCAGTGCAAATATTTCATATATTACTCTGAAGTCTTTACTAGGTAGTACGAACTGCGGCTGCATCCAAAATTCTATGAAATAAACTTAATTTAAAAATTTCCGGAAAATTATCTTCGTCGACAAATCTTGATTACAGAAAAGATAACTTCGTAACCGCATGACAAAACACTAACAACAATAAATAAAGATCCGAAATAAACAAAAAACACTTGTCTATCGCAGAAAAGAGAGTAATGACTCAATCGCACTGACCCAGTCACAGCGACTCGGCAATATTAGGAATATCGTACTCCACATCCACCGTAATCACACGTATAAACTCCTCTCCATTCTCATCTTCTTCCAACTTGGAGGGAACCAGCTCTGGCGTGGGTGCCACACCACCGACCTCCTCCACAAAACTCGATAATGGAAATTGTTTGTCCGCTAGCGGTGACGTGTCCATGTCGGAGAACGCGCCAACTGGCAAATGACGACCGGTGTGCCTCGGCCCGTAGCCGCTTCCGCGCAAGCACACAAAACACCCTGTCGCCTAGTTTGTAGCCTACATACCAGCATTAAAAGGTCAGTCAATTTCGAAAATTTACCTGTCAAATGGTTTTTTACGTTAAATGGATCAGCAATGTTTTCAACTTCAATTCTACCCTTCTTCCACTAGATGTTTTTACTATTCCTAAACTGTCTTCCTGTTGTGGACACCAAAATACGCACCTTGTTTTCGTGCCACTGGTTTGTGTCGTCCTTGCTCGAAGTTGCGCTGTTTTGTCGTCAAAAAATCCATAAACTCTGTCATCAGGCGTTTTCGTCGCTCCGACACTTCCTAAATCAACATAGTCACGGTTTTTGGGCTTTCCTTTGCTGCAGTCACATCAACCCACCTTCGACGCCTTCGACGCCAGCTATCGATCCTTAATTTCAAATTCCAATGCGTATTTCTTCAAAAATTTTTTTGAAAATTTTTTTATGTCCTTAAGCTTCTCTGCCGGGAAAATCGAAGGGGCGGGTCTCGGTCGCCAGCCCAGCATACTCAATCCATCCACTTTCTCATTACGGATATAGCGGCCTTGAAAGGAATTCAGTGTAAATCCATTCTCTTTCTGCAAATTCACAATAATTTTGGATGGCGAAAACCAACAACTTAAAGAACATCAGCAAACGATAACGGTATCAATCTGGAGAGGACGCAAACAACTGCACTGTCTTGAAACACAGAAAGTATGATAATGAATTACAACAACCAGTTACCGCTCAATAAGGTTCGATATTTTTTTGATAAAACCCAACGAAGAAACAAAAAATCACTGGTGGTACTCAATTATTAAACAACAATTATACCTTGTTTCCGGCATTCGAAGAGGACGTAACTGCTGTGAGGTGGCGTCCTGTGGGATCCCACTGGACATCAAAGAGCAGAAAGTGTTAAACATCTCCCAACACTGACAAATCGGCGGTATCCACAAAAAATTAAACACCCAACGCTTCCGCTGCATAACATACAGACAGTGTCAATCAACACACTGTCAGGAATACTACTGTGCTTTACCTGGAAGCCGTGTGAACGACGAACTGACCCACTGGCGACCAGGAAACTTTCTCGACCTTTGTGCCGCAGCGCTAATTTTCTATAACGTATTCAAACATAATTAGCACCATAAAACTGTAAAAAATGCGGCAAAATAAACAAATACTAATCTACTAAATAAATAATACTAAATTACATCGCAGAATAAATTTATAAAGTAATGGCAAGAAATAAAATGCACTTCGAGTCTTTATGTAACTCTCTTGAATTGTCTCAAACATCTGCTTATTATATAAATGCTACAAGCAGATAATTGTAATCAAAGATCTGAAAGTTGCAAAAGACCTGCAACTTTTCCATGGACAACGACGTTTACTGACTAATTACAAAATGATGCCTTGTCGTCAACTATGGAAATTAGTCAATTTACTGAACCAGCAACAGTCAGCACTACTAATTTGTTGCCATTTGGCTCCCGGGAAAAATCTACGATGGAATCTGCAAACGCCAATAAAATTCATTAGAAGTTTTTCTGATAAATCGCCGCATATTACTAAAATGAATTAACTTTTAAATTTTTACTAATCAAAGGAAGATACTCTGTAGAGGCAAAAAGATCAGCAACGTGGTTACAAAAGAAAACTGATCTTGTAAAATAAGCTCAATCAATCTGTTTCTCTAACAACCTGCAACCTGCTACGAAAACTGGTAGTCCATTCTTATTTTAGTACCGAAAAATCTCGCAACGTGTAAGTTTATGTCTAGTCAAACCTGTCCCACTCTACTGTGCTCACCTCGTATTTTAGTGGATTCTACGGGGCTCCCGTTCGTTTAATTAGGGCGAAAATCTCCAGGTTGATGAAATATTCCACCGTAGTCAAACTTGTTTCGCTCTTTCCTTGATATGGTTATAAACGCTCCACGTTGACGGCCATATAATCACCGTTTTCTACCAGCAGAACTCGCAGTCCTTGACGCCGAACAGCTGTATAATGCGGATCTTTTCCATGGGCTTGTCTTTATCCGGTGGAATGCACAGAAGAACGACTGATGGCGACGGAGTTTTCATAGACTCTGAATCTCCAGAAACGTCCTGGAGATCCATGGAAACAACATAGTGGAGATTGAGAACTCGATAGATCCTACAAAACGGGACGATATAGCCAGGAGACACGAGATAGCACAGGATGACACTTCAAAGGGATCGAAAACTGCCATACTAACAGCTGCAGATTTCTCTGAAATATATATATCCGCAAATCTGAATAAATCCATTTAAACAGACTAAAACAATAAGGAAAAACAACTTTTCATCGTAATTGTCAAATTGTACAATACTGTATAAAACTGCAACGCCAACGCAACATCCAGACTTCACTATGGCGTGCACACCAGATTAAGGCCAAGTCCAGTCATTTATATGGAAAAATCCATTACAGGTAGTGTAATGGAATGTGGAATTGGAAAATCAAAAGTTGAGAAAAATTCGAAGTCCAGCACCCGTGTTGGCAAATCGTAATCGATGTTTTCAAAATTGACAATCGATGTTTTCCAATTCCAGATTTCCAAATCGATGAGGCTGTCGGATTTGGAATGCCATACAAGAATCAAGATGCTGGATATTTCGAGCTAAACTTTACTTCAGAGTTCAGTAAGTAACACCCCCAAGTCTCCCCATTTTCTTGATGTGCGAACAGCTGCTTTTAGGAAACCTATTACTGCAAGGTTGTAATTACGGTCTACACTGTTTATTCACTTCGTCGCTGTATTTTCCGGGCATGTGCCGTAGCCAGAGTTACAACTTTCAGCGCTCACAAATGAAGTTACAATTAGACACTGAAAGCCAGAGTTTGTTTGTCGAAGCCGATTGTATGCTAGTCAGAGCCTCAGAGTCAGAGTTTCATTGGTCAGAGTCAGAGTTTCATTGGTCAGAGTCAGAGTTTGAGTGGTCAGAGTCAGACTTTGGGTGGTCAGAGTCAGAGTGGTCAGAGTCAGAGTGGTCAGAGTTTGAGTGGTCAGAGTCAGAGTTTGAGTGGTCAGAGTCAGAGTCAGAGCTTGAGCGCGGGCCCTTCTAAAAGACTAACTGTTCGAATACCGTAATTATCGAATTTGTGGCCCTGGGGTACAAATAGTTCGAACGCTATGGCGGAGGGGCTTATTTCGGGGGGTGGCATTATTTTTCGAACGGTATTTTTTGGGAGGGGGCATTATATTTCAAACAACTGCGCATCCAGTTCTAGTGAAATTGAGCGCAGTAGTTACCGGTATACGCAAAAGCGCAACCTTCCCATCAACATTTTCGAGCATATACTTAGATCCCCATACACCTTTTTGCCAACGAATACCGCATTATGTTGATGTTCGTTTAATGTTTGCTCACAATCACAACAGTTCTTAAAAAACATTTGCGGTACACCTATCATTTTGCAGCGCTTGGCATTTTTTAACGGCCCCCTGGGGCGTAATTTCGGGGGGTGGCCTTATTTTTCAAACAGGGTCGGGGGGCTTATTACACGGGGTGCTCTTATTGCGGGGGGAGCCACAAATTCGATAATTACGG